TGCAAAATCCATCTATGGATTTTGTTTATAGTGATTTCATTGTATTGTTAATAGCCAACATGTTTTTTTATTCAGACTGAATTTATTAAATTTAAGAATCTGACATAAAAGGACACAGATATGACAATAAATGTTCATAATAAATCTCTTTGGTTTTTTCTGCTCAGTGTTATTTCAGGGTTTTGATCTCTCAACTGAGAGATCACATCCTGTTTATTGTATTATAGTGACTATTTAATATTACATCTAAACTTTGACTAGACATGTTGCCTATTAATTGTATACAGTATATGAACCTGAAAGCATATTTAAATTTTTTGTGTATTTTGTGTTACTCCTTAATAATTTTCTAGTTGAGGGCATTTGTAGTATAGGTATGGGGCCCAAACATAACCGCAAGCCCAGGGGCCCCTGGCCCCGTAAGTCCTGCCCTGTGCACGACTATTCAAACTCTTAAAGAAATAGTTCACCCAAAAATAAAAAGACGAATCCAAGATGTACAGTAGCTGAGTTTGTTTCTTCATTGGAACAAATTTGGAGAAATTTAGCATTACATCACTTGCTCATGGATCTTCTGCAGTGAATGGGTGCTGTCAGAATGAGAGTTCAAACAGCTGATAAAAACATCACAATAATCCACAAGTAATCCACACAACACCAGTCCATCAATTAACAAAAAACAGTCTTGTCTGAATCAGGAGAGAAATATGCGCAGATCAAGCACCATTTAAAAACGAAAACAGTTCAAATCAAGCAACGATTTAAAGTTAAAATGCTTTAATGAAGGATTTGTTTCTTACGAACATAATTTCACTTCAACATGAAGAATGTTAATTGATGGACTGGAGCTGTGTGGATTACTTGTTTATTATTGTGATATTTTTATCAGCTGTTTGGACTCCTCCTTCTGACAGCACCCATTCACTGCAGAGGATCCATTGATGAGCAAGTGATGTAAAGCTAAATTTCTCCAAATCTGTTCCGATGAGAAATAAACTCATCTTGGATGGCCTGAGGATGAGTTCATTTTCAGTAAATGTTCATTTTTGGGTGAACTATTACCTTAAACTCAAGTTTATGAAGTCACATTTTGTATTAATGCCACAGATACGCAGCAAATTTAGTCTAAAATGAATAGGGCTCTGTGCAAACTTCAAATGTTAAAAGGGCCATTTACTGTCTGTCACTGATCCTTTGGGACACTCAAGCAATAAAAAGATAGACCCACACAAATCTTTTTAAAACATAGGGAATAAACTTTTTTATGAACATAATAAATAAATTATTAAAGTTTTTTTTCCCTCTAATATACTTAAATTGTGTACAATAATACCAGAAATCTGTATTTAATAAATAAATAGGGTATATTTTTATTTCATGTTGACTTTAATATACTATACAGGTGCATCTCAATAAATTAGAATGTCGTAGAAAAGTTCATTTATTTCAGTCATTCAGCTCAAATTGTGAATTGCTAATATAGGCTAATCTCAAAGTTACAGTTCAGCATGTGATGTAGAAATAACAGACACATTGGGTTCATTAAGGACATTATTCATTTGCAGTAGAGAATTATCATACTATTTTCTGCAAAGATGATGAATCTTTATCATCGTAAATGCATTAAGTGAGATGTTGATCTAAACATGTCTTAATTGCTTGAAGTTGAATACAGCTTCTGTGAGCTGGAACACCAGGACCATTTAACTTATCACTGAATCTTATGGCTGGGATCATTCATGTTATCCCTGAGGCATGTCCCTCCGGCTCTTATAACAATTTGCTGAAGTTGCTGACCTCACAAAGCAAAACACGTGTATATAGTTTTAGGAAAAAGAATAGAAAACAAACTGCTTTTTTTAGTCCCTGTTAGGTGTGTGGTTTTATATGATTGCCTGGATTTAATGGATTTATTTGTGCGATGTGTTGAAATGAAGCTGTTTACAAACATCTTTTATAAGGAAAGTATCACCACAGTAGTTGGTAAAGTTCAGGTAATTGCAAGAGAAGTAGTCAAAAACACCCACATTAACCAACTTTAACACCCTTGCACCCACCAACATGGCAGTAATATGCAATGCTCAAGCTGTGACATGAAATATCAGAATGAGCTGGTGCACAGCATGGCCAGCCCTCAACGGCTCTCTTGCTGCAGATTTATGGGACAACCTCCAATCATTTCCCTCTGGAATCCATTATTTCTGCCTCCTTTCTTCTGTCAAGGTTGTGGGTGTCGAGTTGAAACGACTTTTCAACCCAAGCTTACAGTTAAATTTAGCAACTGTTTGTATTTCAGTTTCTGTTGGTTGTGTGCACCTGAACCATGAACAACAGAAACGAAGTTGGCAAAAATATCTGCCATATGTTTTGTTCTATTTTCCACTGTCTTCACCAAATGTTTTTTTCTTTGTGAGTTTTACTGTCACAAAGCACTGTGAAAAAAACGAACACGACGGTAATACAACAACATTTATAAATCAAGTCCAGTGGTATTTGACTTTCTTCATCTTTGCTGCGAAAATAGTGATTTATTGGGAAATTAGCTTTTGGTTGAATCCTGATAGAAATGTAGATTAAGGAAATTTCTCTTAAGGATGTGTGGCATGTGGCAATTCAAGTTATACATCTAATAAAGTAATTCTTTGAAAAATAATGAAGCTCGGAACAGAATGACCCTATCTGCATATCATCAATTTTGTTGATTAAAATTATACCTCAAGGGTGCCTTGGAAGATTTTATTGCAATGGTTCTGATAGTGGTGAAAATTGCACATGGTTTGACTGCACAGGTCTATTTGATTAATGAATTCATAAATCATGAATTGGGGTATTATGTTGTTTCGTTGGTTAAATGCTGTAAAGATCTAGATTATAGGGTGCTGTGAACGATTTTCATATTTGTGTATACATATCATTTTGAATGCAGTATAAAAAGCAAACCTTGTGTGCGGCAATCATTTACCTTTGTGAAATCTTAAGTGTGGCCTTCAACATCTGAGGAAATCAAGGACATTATAATCTTAAAGAAATTACCCTGTGTTTGAAATACAGTGTCTGAACATGTGTTTTTCATGTGTTATCACAAAGCCTATCAAAAGTTCTGATTGTCATTTTAATTCTTTGAAGTTAAAAAATTTCCCTTTTTTGTTGAGGAGAGAGTACTGGCCTTTCATGTGCAAATCTAAAAGGATGATATTTCCAATACAGGAAATAAAAGGCCCTGGGGGTCGTGCTAATGCAGAAAACTCCCAGAAAAAAAGTACACTCCACTGATAAAACCGATT